GATGGGCTCACAGGGCAGGGATGGGCTCACAGGGCAGGGATGGGCTCACAGGGGCAAGGTAGAAATGCCCACCTCTCCTGGGCAATCCCCACCCAGCAGCGCTCCTATCCCCTGGGGCTCAGCCTCTGGTGCCAGTGGGCATGGCTGGTATGTGCCCCAGTGTTACTTTATTCTTTTAAAAGTTTTAAAGTTCCTTTCAATGTTTTCTATACCTTCTGACAATGTTTACATATTTCTACTGGAGTTCTCACGCACGGTTCGTGTAAATAATGATTGTTTTGCATTCTTCTCTGTGGGAGGAGAAAATTAATAAACTGTTGGTTCGAGCAGTGTGGTTGTGACAATTCCACCCTCCAATCCACTGTCTCTTTCAGAATTCTGTATATTACAAGGTCAGAAATAAAACTTCCTTCTACTCTTGAATCTGTGAGTTCTTTCGTGTCGCAGTGGGACAGCCCGGGGCTGAGGCCAGGCTGCTGCAGGAAAAGCTGCTCCTCTCTGGAGAACTCCTTCTCTTTGCTGACCCTCTGGAAAGGAGCAGGGAGGTAACAACCAGGAGAGGAAAACAAAACGCTTTACCAGCAGCCGTTCAGCACTGAGGAACCAGAGCTGCTCGGGTTCCTGCAGCGGGGCTCAGCTGCCCGCTCCTCTCCTTGTATGGGCACAAGCAGCGCCTGCCCTGGGCCTATATTTAATTTGCAGAGGAGAAAAAGAATTCTGCCTGCACGCCTCCCTGCCTCGGGCAGCCACAACAGGAGTGGAGCTGGAGTTTGACAAAGGAAGAATCCCCTGCTCGGTGTTTAACAAAGGAAGAATCCCCTGCTCGGTGTTTAATGAAAAAGAACCCCCTGCTCGCACAGCAGCCAGGGCAGCAGGTCTGGCAGCACACGGGGCTGGGCAGTGGCAGTGCCAGGCTCTGCACAGCTGGGCACTCCCCTGGCACCTCTGGGGCTGTGCTCTGGCAGCAGCTTCTCCCCAGAGCCCTGTCCCCTGTCCCTCTGTCCCCTGTCCCTCTGTCCCCTGTCCCCTGTTCCCCTGTCCCTGTCCCTCTGTCCCCCTGTCCCTGTCCCCCT